TCCAGCCAGATGGAGTGGCACCGGATCTGTTGAGTGTAGGGAGGCAATTAACAGGATTATGGGCCAACAGTGCCTCTCCCCCACCTCTGGGAAGAGGCAGAGGGGACAAATATGTGAACAAACTTTGTTTTTGTAAGGTTTGTAGCTGGGAATTTCCCTCCTAACTGTATTTCTTGAAGGTGAATGTGTGTGCCAGAGAGGTTCACGTCACAAATCAGAAGGCAGCAGGGTTAAAATGAGCTTTCTAGGGAATTTCAGCATTTTGGGGGGAGATGGGGGACCTAGAATGGATGTAGGAAGTCATGAAGGAAGGGAAACCCTTTCTTGGCTTTTTACTGGGGGTCTTGCAGCCTGTCCTGAAACAGAAGGGAGCAGAAATCCAAAGGTTTTATCTGTCACCCCGATGCCAAGAATAAATGCTGATGGAGTGCAAAGTGCTGTAAGCCTCAGAGGAACTAAGATGACATTTTTCTTTCCTGTATTCCCAGCTAGGTCTCACCCTCTGGGCCCCCCTCGGGAGGGGCACACCAAGGTCAGCCCAGGGTTCAGGATCCTTTGTGGGTGCTGGGGCTGCAGGATGGCCTTGGGGAAGTGACAAGGGAGAGGACAGTTCAAAGTTTGGCAGCTTCTGCATTCCACGGTGCCCTTTCCCTTTGGCCTCCCACACTTCCATCCTCCCCTCCAGCAAGCACATTTGGATCTTCTCCTGGAAAAGAAACAACACAAACATGGAAGAGCCAGTGCCTGGCATTGCTGAGAGGTGGGTGCAGACATCCCTGGGGAGTATTACGCTCTCTCTCACGGTATTACCCCTACACCGGCCAGGGGTAACTGGATCTGCGATAGTCTGATCCTCCCAAGCCTTTAATTGGATGCGGGAAAGGTCCAAAACGCGGCTCACTCTCCTGCTTCCCACAGCCACGACACACACGCTCTTCTTGTCACCCAAGGACGCTCACCCACGGGCCCAGCCCCCTTTCTAACCTCTGACAGCACCCAGCTCCAGGCCAAGGGCCAGAGCCAGAGCTCCTTCATACAGGAGCCCTCCCAGGTGAGAGGAGTGCTGGTGGTGTTGCAATATTTGACAGCTTTCCAGACACCCCCTTTTTTTCTGTTCTGCAAAGCAAATGCCATAGTTAGAGGAGGAACAAAGGGCAGTGGAAGAACAAATAGGGAGGAGCCCCTTCTGTGGGACTGGGCTGCGGGATGGGGATGGGGTGAACACTCTGCAGGGCTCGTGCAAACTGGAGCGCGAAGACGGGCGTGTGGGGAGCACCCGCGTGTGCCAGGCAGCAGCTGGGGCAGTGCTCCCGGCCTGGAGAGGCTTTTCCAAGGCTCCTGCAACCCCCAGCCCTCTCTCCACCCCAGTCTCCACTGCAAACAGCAGCAGCTCTCCTCTGTGGGGCTGGGACAATGCACCCCGGATAAGTGGGCCTTCTGTCCCCAGCTGCACCGGGGCCAGGCTCTCCCCCAACCTGCAAGCCTTTTGCTCTCCTTTTTTTGTTGTTGTTGTTGGGGTTTGTTTTGTTTTGTTTTGTTGCTCTTGCAAAATCAATTTACGGACAGCTCACTCATTTTTCCCCCTTGCAACCTTATTAGGTATTCAGCCCCGGCGAGCACTCCTAAGCATCCTTTGTCCCAGGGAGGGCTGGAGACCCCTTCATTAGCAGTGATTACTCTGAGCAGTTTGACAGCCTCCCAGCCCGCTTACAAGACTTTCCCATTCAGCCCTGCCCGGGGCTGCCCGCTTCTCAAAAGAAACGGAAATATTCAAATATTTCTCCCCCCCTTCCCAGCTGAAGAGAGGAAAAGCTGTTTCTCTTCCCCGCCTTACCCATTCAGTTCACTTTTGATACAATATTTTCCTTCTTTGTTAAGCCGGAGAGAGAGGGGTCAAGGCAGACTTTTTAGTGACCCTTTTCGGAGCGTTTTGTTTAATGTAAATACAAGCTCCTCCACTCTTCCCCGTTTATAATTATAATTATTTTTAAAACAACCAAAGGCTCAGGAGGGCGACAGCTTGGGCTGATCTTTAGGGGAAAAAAAAATGCTGAAAATGCCACGGGAAGGGCATGCACTTTCAACAAGGGAAGGGAAAGGGCAGAAGAAAAAAAAAGAAGGGGGTCGGGGGATGGGGGAAGGAGTGTTTTTCTTTTTTGAGTCTTATGGGTCGAACTAAAGGCGCCGGTGCAGTCCCAAGATTCCGGTCCCTGCAGAGCTCCGTCGGGGAATAAGCACTGGGAGACTTTCCGTTCTCCCGATCTCCCGCAGCAAACAAGGCCGGGAAGCGGGACTGCTCTTCCCAGGTGGGATCCGTGTTCCGCTTCCCGCCCAGGACACTGTTTGGGAAGGGGGTTGGTTCGTGGTCTCGCCACGAGCTTCTGCAGGAAGGTCCCTCCACAGCCCACTCGGGAGATCCCGCATCCTTCAGACACTCAAACCGTTTGTCGAAAGAGACAATATTATCTCCACTGCCTATTGTCCAAATCCCAGCTTTTTTTTTTTTTTTTTTAAATTGGAGAGAAATTCCACGTTACCAGACGCTGTGAGAGCATGTGCTTATATAATTCTCCACTCTCTTTATATCTCTTTGAAAGGTTTAATTCCCCACAATAACCGCTACTACTCTGCCCGCAGAAGCCGATGGAGAAATTGCAATCCGCTTCACCGACTCCCGGGGAAGGAAGGAAAGGAAGAACGCGACGTGTTTCAGCAGATTCCGTTTTGAGAGCGAATACCGAGTTTGCTCTCAAAACAGCCTCGTGGGTGAGAAGCGCTGCCAGCCAGCGAACCCCAAACCCCAGGTAAAATTCACGCCTTGTTTGAGGTTAAAACAGCAAAGCTGGGCTATTGCACGGCTTAAAACCGGTGGGGTTGAAGAGGCAAATAAACCCTCAGGGTTTGGGGTGCAAGGTGTGCTGGTCCGGACGCTCCCGCAGGTGGGTACCCTAAAGGCAGGTGAAAACCCCCGCACTGGCCCCGCTCCGCGCCCTGCGATCCGCTCCTCCCGCACGTCCAAAATACAGCTCATCTGCCCCTTCCGACACCTTGAATTACAACCCACCAAGGAAATCGCTGCTTGTAAACCGGCTCGAAAAACAGCTCACAAATTCCTGCTACCTGCTCCATCCCCGAAACAGTCTATAAGAAAATCCAAGGCACGTGCATTTCGGGGTGGAACGCAGATTCAGGCATCGGCGACGTGAACGCCTTGAATCCGGGCTTTAAATTCCAATTTAGGCAGAGGGGCTAAAGCCACTGCCGAGACGGAATTATACCTCCCGATAAAAGGCAGCAGGACTGAATTAAACTATCAAGGAGCTGAAATAAATGCCCCTGCGCCTCCCCGGCCGCTGGCCTTGCAGGGAGCCGGGGCATCTCCCGCTCCCAGCGCTGCCCGGTGCCAGGCTTCGGCTGCTAAATAAAACGAGCCGAGCAATCAGCTTACCGGGGAGGCATCTCTCTGAGGACAGGGAAGTAAACGCGATGAGACCGAGAAGACAAAAAAAGCACAGCTCAGGCGATTTAAAGATCAATGTCAAATTGTATAATATAAAATCCTTCTGCTGGGGGAAAAAGCTTAGCACGCTCCTTGAACCTGGCGTTTGGTTTCCTCCAGCAAAACCGCCGCAAAACAAAGCGAGGGAGGCGGACGGTGGGGACAACCCCTGGCACATTTCAGGGGCCGCGATTTGGGGCTATTTCGCCCCTAATCCGACCCTTCCTTGGCATGGTTAATTTCTCGTCTTCTCCTTGCCTTTGCCAGGTGAGGGAGGAGGCTTAGTTTCCCCGGCTGGGCTGTGCCCCAACCTTATATCTTCCTTTTAATTTTTTTCCCCTTTTTTTCCCCTCGTCCCTGTCCAAACATTCGCCGCGATAATCCGCAAAGCTTCAGCCCTCGGGAGAGGAGAAGCCGCGGCGATGCCGCCTCCTTCCCTTCCCAGGGCACCCGCATCCCCCGCCAGACTCTTCCCCTCACCCCTCGCCTCATCCCGGCTGCCCTCAGCTCCCTGCCTGGCAAAAACATCACCCTCGGTCCTGGGGACCCGCTAGTTCGGTTCCTGCCGAGCTGATGCTGAAATACCCGTGGCCTCGGAGATCTGCTCTGCGTAAACTGGCGGGCTTGAGACCGACACCGTCATTTCAAAGCAGATGCGAGGGTCGTTCACCAAATATTTTATTATGGTTTTAGGCTGCTTCATACAGTTTCGTCCTGCACATGCTCTACAAGTCACCTGTGCACATAGAGAACAAGCCAGAAATAATAATAATTAATAATAATAATAATAGAAAAAATCTACCATAGCAATCCCTTAAATAAGTAAATAAACATTATATATATATATATATATATAAAAACCCCT